GCAAGATGGTAAAGGTCAGCTGGGGTGGCAGAGCGCAGGGCAGAAGGGGGCCAAGAGGGCATAGAGGGGGGGAGATAGGTGGGCTGCCAAGCTCCTGAACTTTGATCATCTGACTGCAGGGGTGCTGCAACAGTCATACTTCAGGCACCGGTCATAAGTCACTTTTTTCAGCGTGTTCGTAACTTTGAACGGTCGCCGAATGAATAGTCGTAAGTCAAGGTCTACTTGTATAACAAGTAGAGTACTATGTATGTTAAAAATCTGATACATGCCAAGTGTTCACATCCATACTCTGAGCCCTGATCCTGTCTCTGAAGTCTCACTTTTTCTGCAGATCTTTATATGCTGATTATGACAGTCTGCAATGGATTTATAAAGTAGAGTAGTTTATATAGAGTTACATATATAAATATGCATGAGGTAATGTCGATATGTTTAACTGGGAACTTTAGGCAAATTATCAAGACTGCAATTACTTGCAACTCTCCCATAGACTTCAGCACAGAACATGTGAAGGTCTTTAGAAGCATCCACATACTGAGAGAGTTAGTAACAAAGCTTATCCACCCAGTAATTGTGTACCACACGTATGAAAACTGAATGCCTATATGTGGCTTAAAATGAGCAATCAGTTCTGAGGACATTAACAATGACACGTACCTTAAAGAATTAATGGCCTTCAGAAAGCTAGCTGACTTTCTCTAAACAATTAAGAGCAGCTTCTGTCTTAATGTGTCAGGCCTTCAAGGCAGACTAGGTCAAGGAAAGATATACCACATGAATTATTTGTTATAGAATATAATAACAATCTTGAAAGCTTGACAAAGACTCTCTATTCCCTCTTACACTAAACAGAATCAAGGTGAGGCAATCTTGAGATTGCTTTGGGAGTGGTTTCCGTGGTAAAAGAAAAACAGGACAGGAGGAAAAATAATAATAATAATAATAATAGATGCCCTAGAAAGAAAGTGTTAGTTTTGCAATACTGTTCTGGTGTTTCTTCATGGGACAATAGGTGATTTGTCCTATAAAGAGCAATTCAAGTTTAAATTAATCTTGACAAGTTGAAGAACAGAGGCTGCTTTGAGTTTATTTGGAGCAAGTGTTCTGACCATTGTCTCTAAATTGGAAGACACCCTTGCCTTTGATCATTTTCTGAAGATTAAGTGTGACACTGTATTCAAAGAAAGCTAAAAATGTACTAGAGAAGCCAAAAGTTAAGCTGTACCAAAAGGAAACATTCTAGAGAAAAGGATACTATGGAATGCTTCCACCATCATCAGCCTTGTCATCACCTTTTTCCCCATCCCAAGGAATTTTTATAGATGCCAAAAATCTAAAACCAAATCTTCAGATCTGGCAGTAACTTGGCTTGTTGAAGATCCTAGCCAGAAAGGTGCCAGTTTGATTTTTCTTTTTTTTTTTGCAGTCTCTCTTTTTTAAAAGAAAACCAGCAAAATATCTATTATGTATTTATGTTTCTGTGGAAATTGCCAGTATAAATACCAGTCAGAAACATTGCCTTTCTGCAGACACACTAAATACTCAACCCCCATTCAGGCATTACTAGCTCACTGAGATGGAGAGGAGACCCAACCAGTCCCCACATTTGCAAGGGAGGCTGTTTTCTGCATGGCTTTTGAATCTTAAACATGAAGGGTTTTAAATAGCTTGTTATTAAAACACACTCTTCAGGCCTTTTGTTTGGTGCTCAGAAGATGCAGCCCAAGCCTTACAATTAAATGATTTCACATATAGTGCTAAGCCAAGGCTTGTTTAACAACAGTTTGTCATATAAGTCAGAAGTAGCTCGGTCCATCCATTGTGGCTTAGCATAACATGGTTTATGTGCTTTTCGTCTAGCACAAAATGAGCAAGCCCAGCCATCTAGACTGGGGACATCTGGGCAGAAGACACAACTGGATGGAATTCTCATTACTGTAATGAACTTTAGCTCAATATTCTGCTATTTGTAATATCCCATTACTACACAAAAATGAAGCATCTAGGGAGATGTTAATAATCACTAAGTTCAGTGTAAGTGTCAATCTAGAAGTCATCTTGTTCCTTTCTAAAAATTGGGTCAGTAAATTCCTCCTTATTTCAAGCTAGAAATTTCCTGACCATGAGAGTTACTAAGAAGAAGAAGAGCCTGCCTCCTGGAGTTATGGGTGCACCATCACTGGAGGTTTTCACACAAAGGTTGGACAACTATTTTTCTGGAGTAGGTTGAGGATTCCTGCCCTGGACAGGGAGCTGGACTAGAAGACCTCCAAGGTCCCTTCCAACCTTGGAACATTTGTAATATGATTGGTAAAGATTAGGTAAACTAGAGATCAAATTCATTTTGTTTTCAGATTATGGTTCATTCTACTGATATTACAGATTCTTTTTAATATTGTAGTTGGACATGGCTTATATTTGCCCTTCTGAAACATTTGTACAAGGTAGGTAAAGTAGAAACTACTACTTTTCAGAAAAGATCCCTATGCTATATCATTTTAAACACCGCAGGGCAGTGTTTCTCAACCTTGGCAACTTTAAGATGTGTGGACTTCAACAGCTGGCTGGGGAATTCTGGGAGTTGAAGTTCACACATCTTAAAGTTGCCAAGGTTGAGAAACACTGGTGTAGAGCATTGTTAACTCACTAGATTAGGCAAAAATGTGTTCTTCCTTAGTACCTTCAATAGCAATTTCAGTTGCTGAACTTGAAAGTATTTTTTCACAGATGATAAATATTATCTTAATTGAATGCTTGCACACCAAATACAGCAGAGAGGATAGTTTAAGAAGCT